GAGGAACCAATACAGACCCTCCCCGAAAGCCATATCAACAGAACAAAAAGACATACACAAAGAAATAGACAAAGTATCAACACAGGTAAAAGATTTTCCAAAATTTGTTGATGAACAACTTAAATGTTACCTTGGAAAAACAAGTTTCTAATTTTCAGGCTGGTCAGATCAAAAACATTTTCTCATGAATGGAGTAAAATTACTTCAGACCCAGATATTCTAAGTATGGTCCAAGGTGATCATATCAATTTTGAAGGGCAAGTACCAGTTCAACACACATCACCCCCAAATACCCTTCCCCTTTCCCAATCAGAGAAAATTGAAGAAGCCATAAACTGCCTTAAAAAACAAAAAAGGTTATCAGCCTATGCAATGCTGAACCTCGTGAATTTATCTCTCCCATATTTACACTAAACAAAAAGGATGGGAATATACGACTAATTTTAAACTTAAAGAAACTTAATGATTCAGTTGAATACCATAATTTTAAAATGGACAATATTTATACTGTCCTAAAACTGGTCTCCAGAGATTGTTGGATGTCATCCTTAGATTTAAAGGATTCATATTATAGTGTGCCCATACATCCAGAGTCTCAGAGTTTTCTAAAATTTTACTATAATGGGAATTTGTACAAATTCCAAGTTTTTCCCAATGGGTTATCCTCATGTCCTAGAAGATTCACAAAATTGTTGAAACCAGTTTTAGCCACTCTACGACTAGAAGGGCAATGTTATAGTTATCTATATAGATAACCTTTTGGTGATTGGAACCACTTATGAGCAATGTGTAAGATCTGTAATCGAATCCTTTAAACTTCTAGAGAGTTTAGGGTTTGTCATTCACCCAGAGAAGTCATCCTTTGTTCCAAAACAATGCATAACATTTTTAGGTTTTAAAATAAATTGGGTCGTTCCAGAAAAGATCCATACTCGCCCCACGGAGGAAATTTCTGCCGTCCGGAGGGGGAGGGGAGAAAAAATTGTTTCTGATAATAGTAAATGTATTAGGACATCCGAAGGGGGTAGGGGGGTTAACTTCCTATTTCCTCCGTGGGGGTGGTATGGATGTTTTCTGGAATGACCCATTCAGTAACTATGATGTTAAGGCTCACTGAAGAAAAAGCCAAAAAATTGATGGATTTGATCACAAAGGCTCTACAATCCCCTAATAATATACAAATTAGGGAGATTGCTCGAATTATTGGTCATATGGTTTCTTCATTTCCTGCCGTAAAATATGGTCCTTTATATTATAGAAATTTAGAGCATGATAAGACAAGTGCTCTAAAGCAGTCAAAGGGCAATTATGACGGTCACATGAATATTTCCAAAAACTCAGAGCGTGAGTTAAATTGGTGGCTTGATAATGTTAATACTAGTTTCAATACCATAGAAATTGTCTCAAATTGATAAAAAAAATACAATAATAAATTCATTTCTTTGTAAATGTGATGAAGAATCATATATTCTGAAGATATTGTTGTTAGATTGTACTTAAAAAACGATTATAATTCCACCCAAAATTCTATTTTTTTTGCGAGTTTGCGATGTATTTGAAAATTGCAGTGCTTCCACTTTAACTTCCAATTAGAGAAAATGCCTTGAAAATTCCTTAAAATTTCCTTAAAATAAAAAAATTAATTCACGAACCATTTTTTCAGAATTAATTCGAACCCTGGGATGTAGTGGTCTACTCTGATGCCTCTCTGCAAGGTTGGGGAGCAGCCTTGGGTGCATGAGCAGTCAACTGGGGGAGGTTGGGCACAAAGTGAGAAGAACCACATAAACATCCTTGAATTAAAAGCTGCTCTTTTTGCTTTAAAATCATTTGCTTCTGAGATCAAGGGAAAACATGTTAAAATTATGATTGATAACAGCTCCGCGGTATTTATTATCAACAATATGGGTACTAGTCATAACGATACATGTAATTCAATTGCACTTGAGATATGGGAATTTTGTATCCAAAATCAGATTCGGCTTACTGCTGCTCATTTGACGGGGTCATGCAATGTGGTGGCAGATAGAGAATCTAGAACCCTGTACAAGGATGCAGAGTGGATGCTAAATCCTAAGGATTTGGCATCAGCACTGGAACAATTGCAGTTTCAGCACTGAAATTGACTTATTTGCATCTAGGCTAAATAAACAATTTAAAAATTATTATAATATGATATTTGTAGTGTTACTCTGAGTGTATATCCCCGGTGTGAAAAATGTGCCCGGCCACGGTGGGATTCGAACCTACGACCTTTGGAATACTAGCCCATTATTGTTCATATCGGCCTGACCCTGAAGCATCTCATATTGATGCATTTTAAATATCTTGGGAAAAGTTAAATTTCTATGGGTTTCCTCCTTTTAGTTGTCTTTTAAAGACACTAAGGAAGATCATCCAGGAGAGGGCAAAAGGAATTATTGTAATCCCAAACTGGCCAACGCAAGTATGGTATCCTCTCGTAAAACCTTTGTTATTGAAACCTCCTCAGAGACTCCATCCATCCAAAACATTGCTCCACCTACCAACCAATCCAGAGGAAGTACACCCACTCCACAAGAAACTATAGGGATCCTCGTATGTCTTGTGTCCGGGCAAACCCAAAGGTTTTTCCTCCCAAGCAGTTCAAGTTATTATGGCATCGTGGAGAGACGGTACAAAAACACAGTATCAAACATATATAAAGAAATGGGAAACCTTTTGCATCCAAAATGAATGTAGTTTCCTAGATCCTCCTATACCTAAAGCAGTTGATTTCTTAACAGGATTGTTTCAGCAAGGATTATCATACACCTCAATAAATACAGCTCGCAGCGCTTTGTCTGCCTTATTGCATCGCAAGGATAATACTATTCCCTTCGGACAGTTACCATTAGTAAAACGATTTATGAAAGGAATCTTTGAACTTCGCCCTAGTTTTCCAAGGTACGAAGCTGTCTGGGATGTAAATAAAGTCTTTGACTATTTTAGACAGAAATGTAATGTCTCGGATTTATCACTTAAAGAGCTTTCTGAAAGGTTGACAATGTTGTTACTACTCCTAAGTGGACAACGATCTCAAACAATACACTTATTATCTATCGCAAGTATGGAGCTTTCTCCAACCCGATGTGTTTTTCAAGTGAAAGAAAATGTGAAACAATCTCGAGTAGGTTACCATATTGCTCCTATAGCTAGTGTATGAAGAATATCCGAAAGAACCAGCCCTCTGTATTTTAATGCACATCAAGGAATATATTAAGCGTACACAGAAGCTTCGCGATCCGGAACTTTCTCAACTATTAATTAGTTATGTTAAACCAAATAAGCCAGTGTCTCGAGAAACTATTGTTCGCTGGTGTAAGAATGTACTTAAATCAGCAGGAATTGATACCAAAAGATTCAGCTGTCATAGTACTCGGGCGGTATCTATTTCATTAGCAGCAGAAAAATCGGGCGATATTGACAAAATCATTAGCTCGGTTGGCTGGTCAAACGCTAAAACTTTTCAGACATTTTATAAGAAACCTGTGGAACAAACCTTTAACTTGGGTACGATCATTTTGAACTCATTAAATTAACTGTTAGATGTTATACATTGTAATGTTAGTTTTCTCTGACTCCATTACTGCTGTGAAATCTCGTGCAACTCTTGAACGACCATAGCTAATGACGTAGTAGAATTTAAAAATTAAACGAAACTTACCTGTAAGGTGAAGTTTGATTGTAATTCTACAAGTCATCAGCGGGGAGTGAAAGAGTTGCAGGCCCTGCCCAATGATTTTCCCACCCTACTCTTTCACTTCTGCTAATGGAGTCTTGTCTACTGTGAAGTCTGGTTTTCTGCGCGTGCGTCGCACTCTCTCCTGCAACTCTTTCACTCCCCGCTGATGACTTGTAGAATTACAATCAAACTTCACCTTACAGGTAAGTTTCGTTTAATTTTTAAATTCGCCAACATCACGATTCATCACGACACGTAATCTCACTAATTCTATATACAATATATACATCCGACCGGGAGACTGGGACGAAATTAGTATGCCACCTCGCTTCGCTCGGCAGCAATTTAAAATATGCTTTCAAAATTCAAAAACTACAAATAATTAATTGAAACTAGTAAACGTCATGACGAAATTTGAGATTGAGGTGCCTTCGTTGGTATATTCCAGTATTTCCTGGCCCGCGGATATATTAATTGCTCAAAACCGAATATGTGTTTTGTAAAATTTAATTGACTTTCGCTTTGCCTTTATCTTTAAGTTATCTATTTTCACATCGTTCAACGAGAGTCGATCAGTGTGCGTCTCATGATAAAAACTGTACTGCCTAGTAACCACATATAGAAGGAAAATCACTATAATCATGGACATGGTTTCATTGTCAAATTATTATGCAGTCAAATTACTGCAATTTTACCATTACTCATGGCTATGTTGCTTCATATTCACATTTTAAATTCTTTAACTTGATTGTTGTAACAAAAATCATTTTAAAATTAAGAGTTTAATATTTCAGGTCCAGGGTCGGGCAGGGAATATTGAATTTATTCCATGATGTTTAATTCTCAACATATCATTCTAAATGAAGGCAGGAAATGGCGTTTCAGAAGACTTTGTCAGCCGAGCCCGAGTCAAATGTCCGAGTCACTGTTTAGTGGTCTTTGTAGTTCAGTGACTTAGTACCCTAATCCTAACTCCTAACCCTATTCGACTGTGAATACTCTTTAATTTCGTCTTTTTTTTACATGACTCGGGCAAGCTCGGAATTGACTCGGATTCGAATTTGACTTGGTAAATGGATCAGTTACTCCGTTTCAAAAACTCTAGATTCAAACGGATTTCCTGTGGAGCACCCCCCGCGACCCGTGGGAGGTTGTTCTGCTGCCAGTGAGTCAGTGACAATCAAGCAGTACGTGTAGGGGAAGCTGTCAGTGCCAGTTGTTACTTACCTAGCTTAAGTATACTGTAATGCCTGTCAAATGAACAGATCTTATGATTTTCCAATCTCTGAATTGCTGTGTCATGGACTTATGTCAACCACTACTAGTTCATAATGGCAAAGACCGATGTGTCAATCTTGCCATAAAATTATATGCCTTGCCAATTGCCTATCAATGTCTTTCTCACGCCATGCAAGCGGGTCATATCCGTCAATTTATATGAGACTATTTGGGTGGCCGACCCAGGAAGTTTTCAAATCTGGAGAATTGATGTGATTTAATAGAATCGATGACATCACATCACATCAGAAATAAGTCATCTATAAAAGATCTAATCGCTTAACCCACGTTGAATGATGGGAATGCAAGTACATGTCACATATGTCATATTGTTCCAACCCGCAAGCGCCTGCAAATTTGCGCCTGCATTTTCCTCATTTTTTCCGTAGCAAATTTGAGGGACAGTGGAAGAGTTAATTAAGCCAGTGAAACACTTAATCGTAATCGTAACGTACCGTAGCATTTTCTTTTGTGTCGAAGTCATTAGTTCCACACTACCGCTCAGGAAACAAAGAAATGCGCTACGTTTCGGTACGACACGATTGAAGTGGAAAACTGGCTTTAGGGTATAATGTATATAGTACGCAGGCTAGGTATATAGAGTATATTACTATATAATTAAATGTACAGTATTTCTGCAAGAACTGCACGTAGCTCAAATTATCCAGTCACGATAGAATAGAATTTTGATGCTAATTGGTTTATTCAGTCTAGCCTTCAATCATTATTAAAGCTACTACACTGACCGAAATAGCGAGACACGTGACATTTCTCTAATATAAGCGTGCAGTGTGGATCCAAAAATCCTTGTAAGATGAACTGTTTACTTAAAATGGTACCATTTTAACCGTTGTGGGAAAGGAACACACTCGTGCAAATGAAGGGAATCGTTTTTATTTTTCAAGTATTCAAAACAAAGTTTTGATGACAAACTACGAAATAATTATAGACATTTTTAATTCAATATTAATATAACTACGCATTTAATTATTGTTGAAACATTTGTCTCCGATTGAGAAACTGGCTAATGCATCACTACACCTTTCCGGAAAGTACTTAGCCGTGGCTATAGAGCTTCGTTTACGTGGTTGAGACATTGGCTTTAGAGCCCTTTATCCTGTTAACAAGATGCCTGCTCAGGCGTTCACACTGGCCTGAAAATAACGAGATACGTGCTATGGTGCAAAAGGCAGGAATACAAATCTTAAACCGCAAGCAAATTTTATGGACTTTTTAAAAAAATAAAAGACCTTTTCGGGAGACGTAATGGTGCAAATCTACAACTAGAAGTTACTATCGCAAGGAAAGTGCGTATGAACTGAATGCAAAAATTTATACTTCCAGACAATTCTCGATTATATCCTCAATGTTTCCTTCTCGTTGATCATTTAAGCCCGTTCACAAACTCATTCTTAAATTGTGTGCACGGAATACGAGTATAAATAGCCAACATGAAAATGAAGCCGTTGGGTCAAAAGTGGATATTAAGGTCTATTAGCTGACAATGCACACTACTTTAGTATTATTAACTTTGGCTAACGCCAGACCAATTTACACTGTAACGCTAGACGATTTTACTTGTTAGTGGCAGAGTACTGTCAGTAAATGGGTTAACAAACACATTTGACATTGGTCTCTTATTAACCCATTTACAGGCAATGCTGCACCCTGCTTTAGTATTCTTTAGTAACTCTTATTAAAAAAAATCTTGTGTTCAAGCGCTTTCATGTACACAGTTTCGTTTGAATACGGCACAGAGTAGGAATATTTATTTTGAATTTTTCAAAATATCGAGTTATTACTCGCACGTACGTTCATAGCTCGATTGATGCACGTGCAAATCATGCCGACGTACAGAATCGATTTCCGGTTTTTCCTAAACAGCGCGTTGTTTTGATCGCCGCGCTAAAAATATAAATATTCTGTAAATACCGAAATAGAAGATGAAAATTCCCCAAGGCACAAGCTTGAAAATAACACTATAAATAGTGTTTTCGATTCTGGTTCCAATAATATTATTACGAAAAAGATGTGTCCAAAGGGGCCGCAGTTATGTTGGGCAAAATGTATGGCTAGTTTACATTGTTCGTTATATACATTGTTTGTTATATTATGAAATATGATACCATACTTGTATTAAAATTAGTGTCTAACTAAATGTTATTGTATTAGGCAAATGAGTAGA